TTCTGCCACGCTTCCTTCCCTCCCAGAGGGAGCCAAGGACGACAAAGAGGGAACGCCGGGGAAGGACACAGAGGGATTGGCAGCACCACCGCCGGCGTACCCGCAGTCCTTTCGCGAGATCCTGGAGATGACCGAGCGGGGGGAGACACCCCCAGGCATTGTCACGGTCGACTCTCGCCTGTCGCAAGACGTGGGGGAACTAGGGACTCTGTCTGTGCCAGCATCCGCGGAAGGGATGTCTACGCCCCCGAAAAAGCCGTGGGAGGCAGAGAAGGAGGAGGTAGGAAGAGGGGGGGAGGAGGGGAGGGAGGAGGGGAGCAGAGCAAGGGAGGGTGGGACGGAAGGGGAGCTGGAAGAAGAAAGGCGGTTGCCAGCGGAGGGAAAGCAGGCTTACGGCGTGTAATTAGGAAAACCAATCACCAGGAAGTGTGTGTGCATGCTTTCTTAAGTTTGCGTTTCACAAGCAATCACCAGGAAGTTTGTGAGTAAGTTATTTGGGGTTCCATTTCCCCCGCTTTTTGGGCTCTGATCTGTACTGAAGGCTTTATTAAGACGGTCTGTGTGCCTCTTTAATGGCCGTCTTTCCTCGAGGATACCCCTGACCAAATGTCCACACGTATTTCAGTGTGAAATCAATATTATACGATGGTGTGCTTCTTATTTAATGAGGAAAAACTGACAAATAGCGTCTTATCCGTACCTGATTCCTGCTGAAGGCGCAAGGCTTGTCGGCCCATGCGGACATGCGTCGGTGACACCCGTTCACGCTGCAGACATGGCTTTCCAATATCCCTGATACTCACGGTATTGTGCGTCAAAATGTGGTTGACAGCCAGCCCAGTGTCGTGTGTATGTGCACGAGAACGTGCCTTTTGTATGGTACCTGGAGCTCGCCCGCGGAGACAGAGGGTCTCGGCCGAGCGAGCTTGTGGTTGCTCACTCTTCATAATAACAACACACAGCCCCCGAAGCATGTGCACCGCGTCACATTTCATTGACGCCTTTTGATCTTTACACAGGCAGCACAAGGGTGCAGGGCAGGTTTTCTTACAGGGGAACTCGCAGCAACCCGCAAGGGGGATGGCTTCTGCCCTCTTTTCCCGCTCCTCCCGCCTGAGCTATTTCAGAGCACTCCTCCTCCTCGTTTATTTCCTGTTGCATGGTGTGGCATTGACAGCGCAAGCATTCGTCGCTCCCGACCTCGCTCAGCGAACGTATCGTGGTCGGGTGCAGCAATCACCTTGGAAGGAAATGGGTTGGAAGTGTCATAAGGCACTGACACTCCGAACGCTCCATCCTCCTTGGCCACGCCGCGGAGGCCCTGCACGCCAGGCATTTCTTCGATTTGGGGCAGCCCTGGCCTCCAACACGGCCACGAATACCAGGGACTACGAGGGGCGCCGCGAAGTGAACCGCGGGATCCGGGACAGTTCCATTATGACTTTTCTGAGTCGTTTCTTTTCTCCTCCGACTGCTTTGTTGGTTCCACCGCGCGAGAAGGCTGAGGGCACCGGGGACGCGCACAGACTGAACGCGACGGAAGGAAAAGAAGAGGACGACAGCAGCAACGGGGCAGAGGAGAAAGGGGAGGAGGAAACAAAGGAGGAGAAGCTGGAGGAGGAGGAGGAAGCAGAGGGGAAGGAGGAGGAGGAGGAGGTAGAGGAGGAGGTAGAGGAGGTAGAGGTGGAGGAGGAGGAGGAAGAGGAGGGGGCCCACCGCATCCACCGGGGAGAAGTGGACAAACGCATCGGCCCTGCGTATCCCTTGGACGGTTTCCAGACGTTGCGCGGGCATAGGGAGGAAAAAGCGGAGGAAGCGGGTGGATGGGCGGGCAAGGTCTCCCTGGGATTCACGCCAACTTCCAATGAGGGCGAAGGGGGGAAGGAGGAGGTTCAAAAGTGGGCAGGAGAAGGAAGGGAGGGAGGGAAAGTGGAGAGGCACGCCCACGCGGGGATGAAGGG